CATTAAAATCTCGACAACTATTACCTTTCCCATTTCTTTCATCATCTCCCCACATAGTGTCAAGCAGTTCTTCATCATCAATAGCAAATTCATTCCACTCTTCATTAGTTTTAGAACTCTCCCCTTCTTCAAATTTGTTCTTAGAAGAGCCTGGTGTTTGCAGATCCTCCATTGTATATGTCTGGTTCGCTGTTGTTGGTTCTTCATCTGTGCCTTTTGCCTGCTGCTGATTTTCTATTTCATTAGCCTTTGCTCTGTTTGCAAAAATATCCTCATCTTCTGGTCCTTCTAATCCCTCTTTCAACCACTCAGGCTCTTCTAAACTATCAGATGTAGCATCACCGTACTCATCTTCATTTTCAGGCTGTTTTTCAACTTCATCTTGCTTTTCTACAGCTTTTTCACCTTTTTCCTTTGCTGAATTAGACTCTGATTTGCTGTGCTTTTTGTTTCCAGTTAGCTTGGTCTGTCTTCTCACTGACTTCTTGACTATCTGTTTCCCCTTTTTGTTTGCTAACTTTTTTGGGGTATCTTTATCAGATGCCACATTTTGTGCTCCACTATGTGGGGCATCAGTGGGGGCACTTTTACCATGACTTTTTACTCCAACTGAAGCAATTTCACTAGGCATTTCATCACGCAATTCAGCATATATGTTGATAACATCTACTCCTTCATGTGCAGTTAACATTAACTCTATTTCTTTATCTCCTTTAATTTCAGCTGCTCCAACATACAACCCACAATTTGGTATTTCAAAATATAGGTTCACATTCGAGGCATCACCATAGCTACTATACAATTTACACAACATATCCCTGGACAATTTTCTTGTCTCACAATTTTTAAATATGGCTACATCGTTACCAGTATAGACAGTTTCTGGTTCCCATATGAATATACCACCGAAATGCAATTTTATAGTAATTCTTTTTGAAGTTGTCATTTTTTTCAAAGCCTGCATTAGAAATAGTGAAACACATGATAAGAAAAAAAAACACAATCTGATTAAGAAAAGGACATTTAATAGATTACACACTTCAATGAAAACACATGATTACAAAAAAATACAATCTGATTAAGAAAAGGACATATTGCATATCGCATACTTCCATGGACCACATGACGGCCAATAAGCCGACAAGCAAAAATTATTCAATGTCCAAATTGTCAAAACTTTATCAGCAGCCAAATCACTCTATATTATTGAAAATCAAGCCACCCACATTTGACCCAAATCTGACACTAATCAACAAATCTCAAACTAACAAAGTCGTATTCTACCCATGTTTAGTTGAAATTCCGGTGATTTTAGAACTCCCGAATGCAATTTTCTTTACCCTAATCTTAATGCATAAATTCAATTCTAGTCGATAAAATACTCTATGCTTAAATATGATAATACAGATTGTCCCAAAGCAGCAAAATTTTAAATTAATCAACGCTTAAGCAAAATAATCATTGATTTATTAACTTTCCAATGCCCGCTAGTTTCTGTTCAAAAACCATGCAAGTGCATCTTATATGCTAAAATGATGTCAAAAAACTTACCAGATGCAACAACAGCTTTCGTGATGCTCTTTCACAGCTACTTTTTGGTCTTCAATGGTAGATCTTTGTGGGTTAAATTTCTCTCCTTCATTCGGTGGTCATGTTTTTCTCTCCTTTTCTCACGACAAAGACAGAACAAGGAAGAATCTGACTCATCTGCTTCCTTTTTGTATTTATATTAGGGTAATTTGGACATTTTGCCCACGAATCGTTACGGTGGGTGCTTTCCGTCTATTTGCCAGTTCAACCCAAACCACAGGGGGTTTATGTATAGCTTTTTGAACGATGGGGGGTTATGTGATTTTTGCGAAAACCACAAGGGGCTAAAATGTAATTTGCCCTTATTTATTAGACCAAGGATTCATTGGCAGTTTGCATATAGTCTTTTGAGTAATAAATACGTGTTTGGTAAATGCTTCAAGTAAATGTACCATTTGCATTATGACTCATATCTCTTACAAAGTTATTTTTTTTTTCCCCTTATTGAGCAAACATCACCTCACCTAGCAAGCTAAAACATTTTAAAGCATGTTGGTTTATATAAGTCCCTATTTACTTGATTATTTACCGTGACAATAAGACTATATATGTGCATACTTAATTTTACCGTATCTCTAACCTTGTGCTATCTAGAATTTAACACGATATAAAAGTTCAAGATTCATCGAGTTGAATTGAATCAAATGAATACCCAATGCGTGTGCAATTAGGGAACAATTAAAATGAATCAATTTTGTATAAATTTGTTTGTTACATATAAAAAAATTTATATAAAATTCTTATGAAAGAATTTTGGTTTACATGATTATAATAATTTGGTAGTTACAATACGGGTGGTTATGAATAGTTATATTGACAAAACATGATTAAGCAATTAAGGTAAAAATTATTTTTTTGTAAGGGTAAAATTAAAAATATAAGAGATGTCAAAAAATATATTGTATAGATATTGTAATCTCTTTTCAAGAAAAAAAAATGACTTTTCTCTACATTTTTATTCTTTTTTTTTATATATTTTTTTGTGGTGAGAAAGTTTGCAAGTTCCAAGTGCATTTTATTAATTTAGCTATGTCGTTTTAATTAGGAGGTGTATTCCCCGCCAAAAAAGGAAAAATATATACTTCTTCAATCCCAATTATTTAGTCGAATCCAATTTTTTAAAAATAGTAATTTAATTGTGATGTTTTTGCTTATTTTTTCAATTTTAATTGTGATTTAATTGTGATGTTTATGCTTATATTCTTAATTTTATTCCCATAAATTTAAATTTCAAATTTGAATGATAACATGTATATAATTTAAAAAAGATTGAAAAAAGAGATAAAAAATGTTTTAACTTTTCTAATTTGATAAATATTTTAGTACATTCCAAAATAAAAAATATCAGAGTTTAAATGAAAGGAGGGAATACGATACTTTCAATAAAACGCTCACTGAATCACTTCCAATTGTTATTGACTGGTCGGAAATAGGCAATGCGGCGGCCAAGGCCTCCACCGTGGAACCCTACCTCTTTGCCATTTCAGCCCTAGCACAGCTCACTAAAACTCGGCATAGACGCCGAGCTCCAAATTCCTCCAATTGCTGCTGGATTACTACCACAAGTACTTGATTTCTGGAGATAAAGCTTTATTTTCTTAGCTTTTTTTTTGGCATTGATATATTATGGGTGTTTTGGAGGAGATATCTGGGAAATTTGAGCAAGATTTGGACTTGATACGGAAATGTTTCCGAGAGGCTTTGACTGGATTTGAAGCTAGAGAAAATCATCTGAATGGAGTACAAGGATCTCTTTCTGAAAGTTCTTGAGAACTTGCTGTGATGCTAGAGGCCATTGAAGCTCGGGCGAAGGAAATTGAGGAGAAGGAGAGAGAGTGTCGTTTGATTTTGGAACAAGGGCGGAAAGAATTGGAGGTGAAAAAGAATGAATTGAGTTTAATTAGAGATGATACTAGACTTAGGCAAGAGAAATTGAGTGAGCAAGAGAAGTTGATAGGAGGGCTTTTTGAGAGGATAGAGTTCGAGGGGAAACATATTGGGGATATTAGAAGTTCTGTTGATGAGGGTTTTAGAGAATTATGTTTAAAAGAGAGGCAGGTAGCAGATCGTTGGAGAGAGCTCGAGTGGGTTGAGAAACAGATTGAGAGTAGAGAAAATGAACTTGATAAGAAAGAGGAAAAGTTGAAGAGTTTAGAGAAGGAGATTGAGCTGAGGGAAAAGGTTTTGGGTTCAAAACAGGGGATGCTTGAAGCTAGAGAAAGTCAGCTGGAGGCTAGAGAAAAGGTTTTGGATTACAGAAGGTGCTTGACTTGAAACAAAGAGAGCTTGATTCTGCTCAAAAAGGCAAGGAAAGTTGTTCTAGAAAACCTGATTCAATAAATCCAATTCCAACCTGGGGAAGGGCAAAGAAAAGAAGGAAAAGTGGAGACAAGGATGCATATGAGAATGACTCTGAACAACATCCAGTCATTGATCTGGTTGGATCAGATTCTGGTGATTCTGGTCATTCAGGTTTGGGATGTGATCTAAATGATTCCCATTCAGTGTCAGAGTCTGATTCAGGTTATTCAGGTTCAGCACATGATCTTGGTAAGGCAGGTTTAGGCTTGGCCAATTCAAATTCAGGTTTTGAAGGCTCAAGTCCTATTTATCATTCGAACAAATTGTTTAATAACTTCAGAAGAACATACACGTTAAGCAGGTTTCATGTTGGTCAAATTTGGGCTTGTTCTTATCACAGTAGTAATGATAAGATACAAAAATCATATGCTGGGTCTTGAAGGTGCGTGATCCTATTGTTCGCATTGCATGGCTCCAGCCTGTGGCACATTATCCAGGTGCAATGTCGTATAGGAAGAACACCAAAAGTGTGAAGTTACCTGCCATAAAGCAGGGTTGGAAGGAGTGGATAGATGCGGGCTTACCAGTTGGTTGTGGTGAATTTATATGTGGCAAACAAGAGGCCCTGTCATTATCTCGTTGTAACTTTTTGCATCAAGTTTGCTACAAAGATAATTTTGCTTCTTGCAATCTTGGTAGTCCTTACTTAATACATCCTCAAAAGGGAGAGATGTGGGCCCTCTATAAGGATTGCAACCTTAGTTGCTGTGCTTCTAATCCTGAAAATCATTTATCTTGCCAGTATGAGATAGTTGAGATTGTCCAGAGAAATCCTTTTGACACTAGAGTTGCTTCCTTGGATAAATTGGAAGGATATGCTAGTTTATATCACAGAAGAAACCACAATAAGAAGTATACTTTTTTGATAGATGATGAAGAGCTCTTTAGGTTTTCCCACAAAATACCTTCTTTTAGGATGAGCAGCCAAGAGAGCAAAGGTGTACCAGAGGGATCTTTTGAACTTGATCCCAAGTCGCTTCCTGCAGTTTCTTGACAAAATTTGGAACATTCAGGTATTAAAGTTACTAAGTCCATTTTCATTGTGTTCCTGTGAATATTCCTTTTTGCAATTTTTGGTTGCTCCATTTGTGCTGCGGTGTTGGGAGGCTTTTTTACTGGATTGTACTGGTTAATGGGTGAACTCATTGCTAGACATTTTGGCAACACTGAAGAATTTTGTTTAATATGGCATGCAGCTGACACCAGTACTAGCCAGTCAAATGTAGTATTTACAAGTAATAGTCTTCATCATGACATAGAACTTCTTAAACTTCAATTTAATGACTATCATCTACCATGCACTAAGAATTATTAAATTTTACTTGAATGGGTATAGAACTGTTGTGTGATGTTCCTAAAGGGGCATTGCAAATTCTGGATAATCTTTGTACTTCTTTCTATCCTCCTAATAGATTTCCTCCCAGATTTTGGTATAGAATAATTTTTTTTCCCAGCCCCAGGGGACTGGTGGTTGAGAGAAACTCTTGCAGTATCGCAACACTGCTGGTTGTAATTTCCATACAATTTCCCACTAGAAAAATAGAAGTATGGCACAAAAAAATTGATTTTCCATTGTCTGAAACAGCCGAAGTAAACCTCAGTGGAGGAATTTTGTTCCGGTCTTCACCTATCAGTTTACTGTTTAGTTAGCTCTCTAACCGAGGTCTCTCTCTCTCTCTCTCTTATGCACACAAAGACGCACAATCACACAATCATTGAAGCCACTCTAAATTTGTTTTCTGGAAATTCTTGTTGAGGATTATATTAGAGGATCATTGAATGTTTTGTTGAATTGCATGATGTAGGTTACCTGCTGGATGAATTATAAACTATGTGAACTTCCAGCTCTATTGCAGTTACTCTTAAGTTTCTTCTTTTTTTATTTTAACAATTCAGTGCATCATTTTCGTAATTCTCTTTTGGGTTTTTGTAAAGTGTCCCACCTTTGCAAACAAAATCATTTTCAAGCCTGTGGTCTGTGTGACCTGAATGTAGCTACCTTAGATTTGTGCCAAAGTTCACTTCACCTGGGATTGCTTCTAGTTCTATTCTGTATGAACCCTGTCTTTTTGTCTCCTTTTTGTTGAACTTTGTTATAGTCCTTTGAGTTGCCAAAACTTTTGTGGACTTTGTAGCCTCTAACTGCAAAATGCAATACCAAGATTGCTTCCGCACAATTGGCAAATTTAAAGTGGTTCTCCTTGTCAATGTCCACCCTTGTTGCTCTTTTGGTACCAATTTAGATGCAATCACACTTTTGTAATACCTGTCCAAATTCCACCTACCTCTTGCTAGAATCCTTTAATGGCCTTGGATAGCATGATAAAAAATTGTCGAAATTACAACTGAAGTCCACCATTCCTTGATCTTATCAATCTTCACACATGGCGTTTTACCATCTTTGATAGGTGGATGTTCTGCAACTATGTTTTATGTGTCCATTTTATTGGAAATATTTATTTGTTTGTTACCGCATTGGATACACCCACTTCATAAATTCATTTAGTGATGCTTAGTTCTTTACTAATTCTAGCTTGACATATTTTACAGTGAATAACTTTTTGAAACTTATGCCACTTTCTTCCGATTGTGTCTGTCATGATACATCACATAAAATTTCTTCCCATGCATGGTGTTGCCAACTCTTATTATGCTGCTGTCCTGTTTAGAAAGGGGAATTGAGAAATTCATATTTGGTACAAGTCAATAATTGTTTGTGGTTTTGAAGTATTTGTGAGCTAAAAATGTTGGATTCATATGGCTATTTATTGTATTTTGTGTGTAGAGCTGGAAGCCAGATGTCAACTGTAGTCATAATTGATCTATACGAAACCTTTCAATGCTCAAGCACCTGCTATCATTCAGGTCGATCTGGCATTTGTGGACAAATATTCTGTAACCAAATAGAGTTGTACAGATAAATGTGGTGCTTGGATATGTTTACATTATTGAGTGTGTCGAGTTAGATCTCCCTGTTAGCTTAGCCTGTGCAGCTATTTCTATACCCGTTTAGCATAACATGAATTTGAGCCTAAATGAGACAGGCATGTCCAATGCACAGCTTATTATCATGAATGGCGATGTCCATCTAGTTTTCCATTTTTATAATTTTCTAGTAGCTATGGAGAGCTATCTACTTCAAACAATCTCAAGTTAACAGCAGTTTCCACCTTTTAAGTCGCCCTTATTTCCACGTAAAATTTTTTGCTTGTTCACATAATATGAAGTATGCCTTTTTTTTGCTCGTAACTGAGTTATAATTTGATATAGTAATTTGACAGGCGTATATTTTGCTTTTGGTCTAATGGAACGGTTGGAGATGTTTACATGCAAATTTCTGTCCAGTATTATGTTTGCTGTCTGAATAGTCCGAGTTATCGCAATGTTTTCAAACCCGGACCGGGCCGGCCGGCTCGACCGGTCAAACCGCGAACCGGCCATGTGTCCGGTCCGGTTCATAGCTGGTGTTGACTTGGTTCTAGAACCGGGCAAACCCGTAAAAAACCGCTCAAACCGTTAAACTCGGATCGAACCGTGAACCGCGGTTTTTTAATTTTTCACAAAATTGACTGAATTTTGACTGAAATTAAGGACTAAACATCTAAACCTAGTCTTCAGTCTATTCTTCACTCCAATCTTCGCCTCTTCAGTCTTCTTGCTTGGCTGCTCTTGCCGAGTTGCCGTCGTTGCCGTCTCTATTTCCTTCTCGGCTTCTCAGTCCAAACTCCAAACTTGATCCATAGCAATCAGCACGAAGGAAGCACGAAGCAAGTAAACTTGATCCCCTCGGCCCTCTGTATATATATCATCAATTTCTTTTTTTTTTAAATTTTGTTAGTATATTTCTGATCTTGCTATACTTATTTTTCTGGTTTTTTTTTGAAATTTTTACACTACTACCCAAAAAATAAGTTGCCAGATTATCTTGCCGGGAAATTGTTGGAATTTATGGAGGAAAATAGTGGTGCAATTTTTATTAGTTGGGTAGTTTTGTTCTCTGTTTCAGTTTATTAGAATAATATCGAGACTAGCTAGTTCTTGAGGATGTTTCATGATCTGTGGAATACGATTCTTCGAGCAGAAGAACCGTAAAATTGGATATGATCGTCATATTATGGGTTTTTGTTATCTAAAAGAAATTCTTTATGAGTTTTGATACAGGTAAAAACAGAGAGTGCTGGAGCCTGGAGCATGAAGGTTTTGTCATTGGATGATTGCATGCATGCAAAATGTGAATAACTACATAAAGAAATGATTGGCTTTCTTGATTATGATCAGCAACAGAAAGAAAACGAAGAAAAGGTGATTACTTATTTGTTGACCATGATCAGTATTATTGCCTGTTGATTTTTTACAAGGTCTAGTTCCTGTACTCAGTCAGGGTTCTTAATTTTTCTTTCAACTTCGATTCTCTTTGGCTTTCCCTTCGGGCGTGTTTTGTCAGTGTCCTCTTGCATGAAGGCAGTCATCACAGGATCAAACTCTTGATATTACTAAGCGGCGCATCTCTTTTTGCTGGAAATTCTTGTGATAGGAATGAATATGGATGTGTACCACTGGAATCCCTTCATTTGTATTCAATAGAGTTTATTTTTAAGAATTAGAGATTGCTTTTACTGTCTGGAGTTTAAGGTGATGTTGTTGTGTATTGTTGTTGTGCAATGCAATTATTGCTCTTATTATTTAAGAGGTTGAAAACAAAGAGATTCACAAATTTGTCTAATTCTTTTGATGTAATGGTATCCGTGTGTCTACTTGTCCTAACATATATAAGCTGAGCTCTTTGTAGTTATCTAATGGTCAGTAGCCAGAAGTGAAGGTCACCCTGTCCTTGTACCAAGGGCGTCCAGGCCAACTAACCTTAGCTTTATGTATATCTAGACAACAAAGTCCCACTCCCATGTTCTCCACAAGGGCTGGTTCTTTTCACCTTGAGAAAGTGCATATGAGATTGTTCAGTTAGTTGAACTGGATCTGCAACTTGTTTGGAAAAATCAGATAAAAGAATATGTCACCTGACCTGTGTTTTTAATTTGTCTAAGAAGATCCCCTGTTATTGTAAAAGCTGAAATTGTAATTTATTTATCATATCTAGTTGAATGTGTAAATAATTAAATATGCTAATTTTTTAGATAATGAAGATGAAGCAGAAGATGTTGATTTAGAAATATTTCAGCGTCGAAACTTTTTTAATGATGATGAAGATGATGATTGGCATTAAATATTCAAATTGTAATTGGTATAGAATTGTTTGAACTCTTTTATTTTTATTTTTAAGATTTGTATCAATTGGTGTGATGATATTAATATGAATTTTATACTTTTATCACTTGCCAGTGATTCATATAATGGTCTTGGATGGTGATGACGACTTGTCAAGATGGCTTATTTTTGAAGCTTTGTTGTCCCAGAATGACGAAGAAGATTATAGAAACCTCAGAAATTGGATTTGTTTGGACCTTTTGAGTGTTTTCTACACTTATATTGTTTTTTTGTTAATTCTAATATTTAGACAATTGGACATGTAAGTTGGATAACTATGATATTGCTCTTATGTTAATTGTGGTTTAACATTTATATCTTATTCTGTGCGCAGGTATGTGTGTGTGTATATATATATATATTTATTTATTTATTTATTTATTGAACTGGAGTTGAACCGGTCCGATCGGTTGAATCTTGACCCTTTCACTTCACCGGTTCAATTAACGGTCCGAGTTTTAAAACATTGGTGTATCGGCTGGTGACCTAGAGTATTGACATGAGCTCAACGAATTTACATTTTGTCTTGCTCAGCTTGTGTCCCAGTTCGTCCAGAGTGGCTGTATTACCAAATGGCGAGCTTAAAGGAGGTTCTCAGCTTTTTGTGTTTTATTCTTAACTTTAAATGTGTGTTTATGATGTAAAATGATACATGGTACCATATGCTTTCCATATGCTTTTTTTTTTTCAAAAAAAATATGCTTTCCTAGCTAACTACGGATTAAGTACATCAATTTAAGCAATCATTATCTGTACCTATATACAATAATAAAAGGAGAGAGCTGGCAGTTTGGGATAAACATTTTGTATCATTTTTTTGAACTTTCAATTTTGTCCTTAAAAATTTAATTTTCACCCTAATCACCTAATCATATTTGCTAATATAGTCTCTCATAACTCCCCTAAATATTGTAGCTACCAAATTAACTATAACTGTATTAAAGATAAAAAATTACTAATAAATTGTAGTTTTTTTATATGTAATTTAATTTTGTAAAAACAAAATTAATATATTCATAAAATTAATAATTATTTCTGAACTATATACACATTGGATGTGCCCTTAACATTAGTGTATGCAAGTTCTATTTGATCTTTACTATGTAGAAAAGACCTAAATTTTTGGATTAATTTCGGCCTCTATGATTTCATTATTCATAGGTATGGCAATAGGGGCACCCTACGGGAGATTAATGGGGTGGGGGATAGGGCGGGGCGAAGGGAAAAATGCTCCCCTCATTAAAAAAACGTGGTGGGGTACGACCGCTCCATCCCCCGCTTAAATAAAATAATAATATATATACACACACACATAACATATTTAATATTATTAATTATAAATATCAAATTATGCATATGTAATATAATTAATATTATTAGTTATACTAATAATTATATATTTATATTAATACAAATTATTGATTAGTTGTAATAATATATTTACACTAAATTACTAGCTACAATTTTTACTAATTATACATTTATTTTATTATATACTTTTTACTAATTATACATTTGTACTAAATTACAAATTATAAACTTTTTCCCAACAGGCATCTGCGGAGGAAGTGGAGCGGGGGCGGGGGATATGTTTAGGCAACAGTCCCGCTCTAATCTCGTCCTATTGCCATTCCCAAAAATTTGCGCTACCCGGTTAAGGATAAGTTTAGCAAATCAGCAATAACTACGGTGTTATTCCATATGCATCCGATACCCATCCGCATCCTCAAGTCATTTTTTGGATTTGCCAAACATTGTCCTGTTCTGTACCATATCAGTTGAGAAAAAAAACTCTTAAGGCGGGAAAATTACTAAAGGACTGAAGCAATACCAAAAATAAAAATGAAAAGACAACGATTTCAAGCATGAAACTGTTAAAAAAAAAAAAAGGAAAAGTTGAAAGCTTCCTGTTGATGTAGCTCAAACTCAGGATTAATCAGTTCGAATCTTATGCTGTCTAGTGGTCTTAATTGAAACATAATTAGTTTTAAGAAAAAGATTGACATACGTAACAATTTAGAGAGGTATTTGAACCGTCAAAATTTTGTTGAATTATTGTAATAGTGGAAATAGTTTACAATTTAAATTATAAAAGGAAAGTTCCCATTAGGATGGATAAATGAATAAGATAAGTAATGCCTTATTTGATAATCCAATTCACCACTTAAACATAATGGATTTAGACCTTAATATATTCAGACGTGCTTGATAACAAAAAAAATAAGGGTTATTATCACTTTACCCCCTCAATGTTTGGTATCACTATCAATTTTCCCATTAACGTTATCTTTAGTCACTTTACCCCAAGACTAACGGTCAAACTTAATAGAGTTTGTTAATTAAAGTAAAAAGACATGTTTAACTCTTAAAATTATTATCACTTTAGCCCCATAAAAGTATAATCTCATTATCAATTTACCCCATAGAGGTATTTTTTTAGACAATTTATTCTACCATTTAACCAACTCAGTAAGTTAAAAAAACTTTAGAAGCAAATTACCTCCTCTTTGCATAATAAAAATAATAAAAAATTTAGAGTGGCTCTTTTCCTTTTTAGTATCAAGAAAAAAGTCAAAGAATTAATTTCTTTATTCTTCGCAATTTTATTAATATTGAAAAAAATTAGAAAGACGGAGAGGGGGAGAGGAGAGAGAGAGAGAGAGAGAGCTCAATTCTTTTTTAAAAAATTACAAATAATAAAGAATTGAATACTTTTATTATTTTAAAATTATTTCACTTTTCTGTTTACTATCAAATTCCAATCCTAATCTCAACAACCTTAAAGTAATACGATAATGTTAGACTTTCTTTATTTTCTTTCTTTGCAAAATCTAATTTTTTGTCTCCTTCTTTCCTATGTCTTTGTCTTTTCCAAGTATTAATAAGTGTGAAAAAATTTTGAGAAAATTCTTTTATTTTTATGTTTTTCGGTCTCTTAAAGTGAAAAAAAGGAAAAATAACCATTCCAACTTTTTATTTTTAATTATATATAAAAGGGTAAATATATTTAAAATTTTTTGACTATACTGGTTAGGTTAACGATGAGGTAAAATGTCTAGAAAATAATGTTAGGAACTAAAGCGAGTGTATCACTATAATCTAAATGAATAAAGTGATGATAACAATATAGTAATGCTATAAAATAAAAGGGTTTTTTTTGTCCAAAATTTCTTAACATGTTGAGTTGAATTACTAATATGGGTAAAGTAATTAAAAAATAACGTTAAGAGATAAACTGATAGTAATGATATAATTTAAGGGGGTAAAGTGATAATAACCCAGAAAATAAACATCTGAATTAATTAAGTGAAACTGATCTTTCATATGTTAGTGTGGGCCTGATTATGTGGCACTAAATACCCACTAACAGTTGGTGTGACAAGGGCAGCTTGATAATTTAACAGAATCTCTATAGTTTTTCTAAACCCAGGAATAGTAAGCCATACTTGTCTTGCAAATTAATGAAAAGTTGGATCATTCATACCAATTTTGATTTTTCCAACAACCTTTTTTCCAAATATTTCTCAAGCAATTTTGCTTGGGTTGCAGGACAGAATTCATTGCCCAATTGCTACAATTTGTCGTCCACATTTCTTGGAAGGTGATGCTACTAATGTAATCGGAGTACTCAATATTTGTGACTTTCTTCAGAAAAAAGAATGCCCAAAAAAAAAAGATATCTAAAATTTTTTGGAGTAAAATTGCTTCTAGAAACAATAACTATATATATATATATATAAATTTAAAAAAACGCAACTATTCTAAAAGAATTCCATGACTCATCCTATAAGCAAAACTGCATCTTGCTTAAATTAGCTCTCTCAAAATTCAATTCTCTACTTTCCAGATCAAAATCAGACACATGAGAACTTTAATTGCTTTCTGGTACAAGTAGTAGTTAGTTGATGAATTTAGAGACTGCTGTATGAGGATCTTTGCAAACAATAATATGCCCTACATATAGAACTGAGAATGGAATCTGTTCCCATATGGTCATATTTTGGCAAATAAAATAAAATAAAGAGGTAAATTAGTCCACAAGCACATTACAAAAAGCCAAATACACAACTGTCTAATAACATTTATTGCATCAAATGAAGTGTTTCAAAGTCGAACACAATTTTTTTTTCTTTTTGTGGAACTTTTTTGTTGAATAATAAACAGTGGAGCTCAAAACCCTCCCAATTCCCTAAAATTTATACAGAGTTCGAAACAAAAAGGCACACAAAAACACAGGCAAAAGTTTTGCTTCTTCAACTGCTTTCTTCTTCTTCCACAGCAACAGCAAACCTTTTTTTTTTTTACTTTTTTGTTTTAAAATAGAGAAAGCCACACGTATGAGCAATTATAAGAAAGCCACACATATGAGAAAGCCACACATAGCAAACCCTGCTGATATTAGAAAATCCAAAGACAATAGCTACTCTTTCTTGCCCTTTTGACTGAGATTTTGTGTACATCTAACTTTCAAATGTGGCTTTGCAGGAAGTAATTGATGCTGAGGATGAGAAACTGAAAAAGCTAAAGAACGAATTTGGAAATGAAGTTTATGAAGCTGTGACAACAGCTTTGATGGAGCTGAATGAGTACAACCCCAGTGGCAGGTATGTTATACCTGAGTTATGGAACTACAACCAGAAAAGGAGAGCAACACTGAAGGAAGGAGTAGCATACATAATCGAGCAGTGGAAATGCCTCAAATGGAAAACCAAAGACCACTAAAGGTGAACCTTCTTACTCTCTCTACCTGTATGTAATCAAGGGGATTCAAGACACCTCTGCTACTGACATTTTTTTTCTTTATTTTAAGAGCAAATTGTGTTTTGGAAGTATATGCACCGATTAATCCATATTATCATGAAACCGATTTATGGTTACAAATCCATACTCCTGCCAACTTCGTGTTTAATAGCTATCCATTTTGAATTATTTCACACTTGCTATGCTAATCGTGGTACGTGCATTATTCAGGTCCATGGCCTATCCATCTTCATTCAATGATGATGTCACTGTGGTGAATCATCCGTTATATTGATCATATACTGTGGTGTATGCTACTCCTTCCTTCAGTGTTGCTCTCCTTTTCTGGTTGTAGTTCCATAACTCAGGTATAACATACCTGCCACTGGCTCATTCAGCTCCATCAAAGCTGTTGTCACAGCTTCATAAACTTCATTTCCAAATTCGTTCTTTAGCTTTTTCAGTTTCTCATCCTCAGCATCAATTACTTCCTGCAAAGCCACATTTGAAAGTTAGATGTACACAAAATCTCAGTCAAAAGGGCAAGAAAGAATGACAGATATCGATCAATCCAGGGCAGA